TGAATGCGCTTCAGCGTCTACTTTTTACTATGGAAGACAATGTTTTTGTAGCATACATGAACGAGTTGTTACCTGAGGCCTCCCGAAATGCTCTCGAAAATCCCTACCTTAAGCGGATTCTTTCTCAACCCACATTTCCAATTGAAAAGCCACAAAGTGTAGCCAGAACCACATTAGAACAACCGTTGAATGTCTTGTATGCGGGCTTCCAGGAGGCAACTGTGTTTAGTAAAAATGTCGGTGGTTTTCAATGCCAGTGTTCAGCAGGCGGTCTCAAAGGGACGATTTCCAGTCAGCAGGAGTATGGACCCAGTGATTCCTGCAGTAGCTTGCTTCACAATTTCGGTTCACATTTGGCGACGTCTAGCTCTCGAAGTATGGAGTCCGCTACCTCTGTCCACAGCGGTCTCCAGATTTCTTCGAAACTGGCCTCCCGACTGCAGGAAGCAGACACTCATCGGGCGCCCTGGTACAAAAGCCTGGCCTGCGAGGCCACTCGCCTACACCAATGATGCATTCAATCCGCACCGGTGTTGTTTGACATGACTAGGCTTGTACATATATTTTCCATTTTTGAATATCCTTTTGCTTTTTCTGCGCTGATTCCATCCACGGAAGTATAAAACACATTTGTACACCCCATATTAATTATTCACAACTGCAAATGACTATCTAAATTATAACCTTGAGCATCTGCAGTCACAATAGTTCATTGCTCCTTTAAAGTCGGCGAGGAAGTTGGCAAAAGACCGAAAATGTCGTTTGCGGTTAAAGTGCGCGACCGTGTGTTCCTCAAAAAATCGACGCCTTCACAAGGAGTCGTCAGTGTTGCACTGAGCCTAGGGAACACCGACAGTTTATTTTGGACATGTCAGGTTTGATGTCCGGTGTGTTAATTCCGAAAGACCTGAGTGTTCTAAGTCAACAGCATGTTCTTTCTGCCACCACATTGTGGTATACAGTCATGTCAATGGGTATTGCAAGATGGCATTCGGGAATTTGGCGATTCATATCTAAAGCAACACTGTTGCTCTATACAATTTTCGAGAATCTGAGCAACCTCTATTCCCCGTGCAAATTTTCTTCTATATTCACTTATTATCACTTTATCGATGACTGCATCCGGGGTGCAGTCGGAATTGTCGGTCTATGCAAGAATTGCTTCTGCCAACGCGATATATGAATGCATCATCTGATTACGAATTAATGTTTTTAATTTTTCAAAGACTTCTGATGAGCCCAATGACCAAACGAATACTGAAATATTGCGCATGACACGGTCTAGTGTTGGCTGCAATTTAGAAAATCCAGCATTTAGACGTCTATAGTAGATGAAAGGCCTTTAACTGTGCTGCACTTCCTCTGCATCCGCAGGAACCTTAACGTTCGGCATTACAGTCCAGATATTTTGTATTTGCGTTGGGTTTCAACCCATCGGTGGCCAAATATCAAATTTGCAATCGCGGATTAGACGGGCACAAAGAGATAAGCACTGCAGATACTTTTCGTCGACAGACGTTTTGTGCGTATGACCGCTGTGAACTGCTGGCAGGAACATTAGTGCCTGATAGCCAAACGCACAGTTGCCTTTCTGTTCTTGTATTGGCAGACAGCCCACTTACCACATCGGTGTACCCTAAGATAGGAATGATATTTCATGAGAGTTGGATCACATATCATACCTACTTCCCGCTCGTTGCACACAGATATCTACATATACCAAATAGACAGTATGAACGGCTTTTATAGTATGCTTAGGGATTGTATCTTCAGTTTAAACGGCTACAATCTTTAAGATAATATCATGCCGATACCCCGGCAGTGATCATTCGCAATGTCTCCTGATGAACTCAATCCAACAGAGCGTCTCTAGGAGCACGTTTAAGTGACAGTTCAAAAACTATGCAATCAGCCCTGTGCGATGCGTGCAGCGAATTTCCACCCAACAAATGCGAATGAATTGCAGTCTCCTCTGAGTTTGTATTTGACCTTCTTCAGTAAAAACGCAAACTCAAACCAAGTTAAAAATGCAGCCCTCGCATGATTTTCAGTGAGTTATAATAATTTCGCGTGTTCGATCCGCAGGACCTCAGCAAGCTCACGATGAACTCAGTAAAACCGTCTTTTACGCCATCAAGAGGACCTTTGTGGATTTTGATGAGTACTTCTTTTCCGAGATTTTCAGGACATTTGTGAGGTCGCATTTGGAATACATTAGACAAGCGGGATGAGACTGTGGGCATTCTAGAAATTAGAATATTATCGGAAGATCCATAAGAAGGGTGACTAAGATGGTTAAAGATCTAGTTTCTTGCTTCATTCTACCAGTCGAACAAACCTAATTTTCTGTCCACAGAATTATAGGCAACGCGTGGGGATCTATAAATCGCATTCCACACTGTCCATCCTTTGACTTTTTAATTCACAATCACGACCAACCTCCGAGATCATCCATTAAATCCGAGCGTTCAGCAGACAAGGATGGATGTCCAGAATATCTCCTCCGCTGTCCGAGTATTAATGCCCTGGAATTCTCTCAGTGTAAATGTCGTGATTTTACCACCGATGGAATCTTACATGTCTTGGGCCTGAGTGATG